GGGGGGGTGAGCGGGGCTTCAATATGGCCTCGATAATTAAACACTAATATTGTAAAGTGAATTCCTGAAGTAAATAATAACTGGAACCTTGGCGATGGTGAGGATTTGAACAAATGAATGTCCATCGGCCTTGGTTATTGAAAGATTTTGAACAAGTGTCTTTCAGCCTTGTTACTGTGAGGATTATAACCCATGCCCTTCGCCTTCGAGACAAAGGCCACTCAAAAAGGCCACTGATATCCTCATATTAATACCAAAATGTAAAATCATAATTTTTAAGAACCAAACTCAAGGACTGTTGTTCAGATGCACAATTGCGGTCAAATCACATGAATTCAAACAAGGGGGTCCATCTGCGTTAAGGTGGCCTGTGTCGACCCCCCGCCCCCCTTCCTCCTCCAATTCCTTCCTTAACTACACCGTGTAGCAGATCTCTTTGACATGTGCGGATGTGTGCTTCTAAGATAAGATAAGATAAGATGAGATAAGATAAGATTATATAAGATGAGATGAGATACAAGATCCCTGTATAAAACGTTCTGTTTCACAAAACTTGCCCATTTCTCTTCCTTTTCTTGTCCCCTTATCTTTTCCCTATTCTGTTTTAGTAACCCTTTGACCCTGTTCATGCCGTTGTCTGGGATTTGACGATTGCTCTTTTTTTTCAACACGTACTCTTTTTTTTTCTTTTTTTTTATTCGGAATAAGTAACATTCCTCTGTCCCTTTTTATGTCTCAATAACTTTCAGGTCCTTGATCATTATATTAAGTTGAAAGTCTTCTCCAGAACATAATATGTTGTTATTATTGTTGTTGTTGTTTTTGTTGTTGCTGTTGTTGTTGCTGTTGTTGCTGTTGTTTTTGTTTGTGTTTCAGTTGCTGTTATTATTGTTGTTGTTGTTGTTGTTGTTGCTGCTGCTGATGTTGTTTTTGTTGTTGCTGTTGTTATTGTTGTTGTTATTGTTGCTAGTGCTGGTGCTGCCGTTGCTGTTGTTTGTTGTAGTTGTTGTTTTTTGGGTTGTTTGGTTTTTGTTGCATTGTTATTGCTGTTACATTTTGATTTTGTTGTCAGAAGTTGAGTAAACCATTCCTCTGAACATTCACCGGTGATAAAAGTCCACCCCCTCCCATGTATAGGACAAATACTATCATATCTTTGTATTTCAAAACTAACATCGTTTTAGCTGTTTCTCTATTTTCATCTTCCATCTTAAATTACCTGTGTACAAGCACTAAACCCAATGTATTGACCCAATGTTTTGCTTCCAGACTCAGGGGAAATAAACTTGTCTTATTCTTTCCAGATTGCTTTCCTCCCTTCTAATAGCAAACGTACAATAATTCAGAGGCTTGTACTAATTTGGCCATTACTGAGCACAACTAAAAAATATTACATAATACGATACAAAGCATTCACAGAAATGGAAGGTTTTTGTTTTTTCAACATGATTTTATTGTACGAATTTGTACCGGAGCTTTTTAAAGTTTTATGTTCCCCTGGGTGCGGAGAGACACTCCAGTCAACTTTTATGACATTGTTTGAAAATTAATTGTTTTGTGTGAAATCTTCATTTTTGTATATGAGTGCACCCCAGTCCGCCTTTATGAAATGTTTTATGTGAAATGATTATTTGTATCTGAGTGATTTGCACACCCCCCCCCCCCCCCCCTTTCCCTTTTGCGTAGATAATAATAACAATGTCTAAGATATCCAATTGTCTAAGTCACCCACTTTTTTCCTCCACAATAAGTGAACGTCTTGGACGGTGTCGACTTGTCTTGACGTCAGACTGTACAGTTATTGGTGTATCTCTCTCACCGACTGACGACACAATGATTTCGCACTCTTATTTTCTAAGCGCACCCCCTCCCCTTTCCCCCTTTCATCCAAACCAAACTCCACCACCCCACTACCCCACCACCCCTTTTCTAACATACACACATACCCTTTAAAGCTTGCACTGTCAGGATATTATTACGGTAACACTATTAGAATACTCTTTTGTATTTAGCTTAAAATTAAACAAGACGTGTTCATTTATATCAGATACGTGTAACTGTGGATCTGTTTGTGAGTGTATATTATAATATGCGTGTGAAAGAGGTGATTAGGAAGATGAAGTGTGTGCGCGCGCGCGCGCGCGTGTGTGTGTGTGTGTGTGTGTGTGTGTGTGTGTGTGTGAGTGAGGCTGTGTGTGTCAGAGAGAGAGAGAGGGAGAGAGAGAGAGAGAGAGAGAGAGAGAGAGAGAGAGAGAAAGAGAGAGGGAGGGAGGGGGAAGAGAGAGGGGAAGTATGAGGGTGTGTGCGCGCTTGTGTGTGTGTGTGTGTGTGTGTGTGTGTGTGTTTGTATGTGTATGCATGTATGTATTATGTGTATATGTGTATGTGTATGTATGTATGTATGTAAGTACGTGTGTGGAAGGGAGGAGGGATTAAAAAACAAACCAATGGACTACCACTTGGGAAAATAAGATTTATTTTATCTTATCTTATCTCATCGTATCTTATGTTGCAGCCAAACCCCGTATCGACGAGAATCACCGCGGCATGGCTTACGGAGGCAACGACTACGATAGAGGTCACCCCCACCCCCGACCTATGCAAGATCCCTTCAGAGACAGAGGGTGAGTCTTTCACACACACATACAAACACACAAAAATAAACACGCACGTACACACATACAAACACACATGTAAAAATACATACACGCATACACACACGCACACACTAACGCATACAATCCCCAATCCTTTCTAAATCATTTACGAATGTTCATGCTACAATCTTTGGAAAAAATATAGAACGAATTAGTACTTGACTTTGTTTCTGTATTACTGTGAGCACCTCAATCCTGTCTCTTCTATAAAATGCAAGACTGGGTACTGTCATGGTTTCCACTCTTTGCTCTTTATGACAAAAACTTCGCAGCGCCGGTGCGCTTCATTGACGCACTTATGAAAAGGGTAAAATCAAAGATAGTACATAACAAGATGGTCCACTCAGCCAAAAAAGTGTCCGCCGGAAGTTCGCTCTTTGCTTCAGATGGCGCTGCAGTCCGTTTTGGAGCTCTCTTTCGTTTCTCCATAAGAAGAATAGGAATAGCACCTCCTTGCGTGCGCAGATCGACTGCTGTTCGTCAACTGTTCGGGTTCGTTCAGTGCGGAGTTTTAGGGGGTTTTTGTTTTATTTTAATGACCTCTTGCCTTTAATTCTTAAGTCAAATTAAACGAAGAAAACAGTCACCCCTTCCTCTGGAAGAGGTTTTTTGTCAGCGTAACCATTTTAAAAAAGCGTTCTTCCGAAATTTGAATTTTTATTTATTCAAAAACGTTTTAGTTTCACTTTGATTATTTTAAAACACAAATAGGGTAACTCTGTTCGCAAAGGGTACGCATTTGCGAAGAGGGCGCCACGAATTTTGAGGACACTTTTTTAATAGGCTCAAAGAGAGGAGTGAACCCTCTTGTTATATAGACTCTTTGGTAAAACACAAGTTTTGCTATAATCGAATGCAAGTGCAAGCGCAACCTTTCCCTCCTTGTCCTTTACTTACTTCCAAGTAGAGTCAAATTTAATGGTGCGCCCCGTAGTGGACTGGGATTAGATCTAGATCTACGTCAGGAGTGCCCCGTGTTGGATAAAAGACAGGAATTTCTACTTTTCATTCTCATGCGTGATATCACTGAACTTTTCATAAACAAAAGGTCCAGAGGCAACACCTACTCTAAGACGTATAATAAAGTAGGCGTTGGCCAAGGGCGAAAAAGTTTTTACATAAACCGCACTATTTGACTCTATTTCTAAACATATCGCTACCTTAGATTTCTAAAGTTCTATCTGACGTTTTAGGCTATTTTGAGTTACTAAGACTATGTGATATTCTATCTGAACTTCCAAAATCGTAATATTATTCGGAGTGGTTATCAAAATATTCAAAGAATTGTATTAGAAAAAACGACTTGTTAAACTCAAAAATGTTACATCAAATTTCTGAAGACTAGGTACCGAGCAGATAAAAATTTGCAATTCCTAAGGTAGCGAAACATAGATAAAGAATGGTACTAACGATAGCACGAGACTATGTTTTGACCTTCATTTAGACACCCAATGGGCACACCAATGTGTTCAAGGTTTCATAGAGAGCAAACGGCGGCTGTCCTGCCTGCTCTAAAATAATATCACTATTCGTCTAAGCTAGCATTAAAGCTGCCTGTGTTAATGTAAATGCCTTGCTTGTGTGTTTGCTTACAGGAATGAGGACTTAGAGAAATTCCAAAAACAGAAGCAGGACATGGAGCAAGACATTCAGAGAATGAAAGAGCGACAGATGAAAGAGAAAATGGAGAGAGAAGATGAGAAAAAGAAGGTAAAGTACCCTTTGGTTTTTGGGTTTCTTGTTCTCATTACTTTGTCTTTTTCTGACGTTTTTAACAGTGGTGGTGAAGGTAGCGATGACGGTGAGGGTGACGGTGACGGTGACGGAAGTGGTGGCAATTGTTTGGTCTGTTTGGTCAATTACTTTGTCTTTTTCTGACGTTTTTAACAGTGGTGGTGAAGGTAGCGATGACGGTGAGGGTGACGGTGACGGTGACGGAAGTGGTGGCAATTGTTTGGTCTGTTTGGTCAATTACTTTGTCTTTTTCTGACGTTTTTAACAGTGGTGGTGAAGGTAG